TATTTAATATCGATTGAAATCTAAATTTTAATCTAAATCAAAGTTAACAATTAATTCTAATAACATATTTTATGGAATCCATAACTATTTAACTTTTATCAAAATTTTGCTAAAAATACAATTTTAATCTCCACCAAATATGGGTAAAATCATAATAAATTTGAATTTCAATAACAAACTAATATTAAAAATTTCCAACAATCGCATGCTAATCGAATCTACAAATTATTTATATCATATTAAAACTTATTTTGAAAACTACATCATGAGCATATCGAATAGTCCAAACAATATCGAAAATAGTTAAACGTGAGTCTTAAAGAAAGACGTCTAACTCGCATTTTTTTTAAAAAAAATTCAATTATTTCATTAACATTTATTATTTTTGCGATACAAATTTTTCAATGTAATTTTCATCATTTTATTAGGAAATTTTATATGGAAGATGACATCAAATAATTTTGAAATTTTACATCCAAAAAAGTCATATCTCTCGTAAATTTTCGGGTACAAAATTATATGGGGCATGATTTTTTTGGACGTAAATTTTCAATTGTAAAATTTTTCTCAACTTCTTTACAAGTTCGATTATGCCCCCGTAACTTTAAACTTCTGCGTCCGCCCCTACTTAGGAATATACATCTAGATTAATTCTAGATTTAATATGAATAAGTAGCATCTTTATATTAACAATCATGCTTGGTATATACTTTGGTGTACATGATTTACAACACATAGCAAAGTGTCATTTGGCTATTAAAAAAATATACTTTTTTTCATCTGATCTTTTTTACAGCAAGGCAAATGTCAACAATGATGTCAATCTTGAAATGTAGAAATGACTTAATCCTTGTATTAATGCAAAGTGTAAGACGATGCATTAATATTTTGCCGCCATTTTTTCTAGCAAAGTTTAGTAGCTTGTCGAGACTGCGCAAGGGCCGAAGAATCAACCAGGCATTTTTAGCATGCAGAGTTTACCGGGCTTTGCATCCGACTGATTTTACACCTCTACAAAGTTACCTCCACATGTTTGCTTTACAGATAAGTAAATTTTTAAGTAGCGTTATCTCATATTATTAGATCGCCTCAAACTGAATGGGAGGTTTGGAATTGACCCCTATCCAAGTATATTAATATTGAAAGAATACATGAAAGGGGATATGGGCCTAATCTCCAAGGAATTACAAAGAAACTATCCGTAACCTAATTGCAATCTAATCTATGTTACAAAAGCTTACACGAAATTTATATTAAAGAATATTAAGTCCATTTATCGAGTCTGAAGTTAGGATGACCTAAATTGTCCATTCTCACTAAGCCCAGGGGCGGAGCCAGACTTTGAACGTAGGGGGGGCCTAGAGGTAGATGTGAAGTGGTGGGGGCCCACAAGGGTTCGGGGGCAGCGCCCCAGAAATTTTTTTTTGGATACATTATTTACAAAAAAATTAAGAAACGTATAAAAGAAAGTACTAATATTTAATTTAGCAAAATCATACTTTGATAACGTTATATAACTACATTATAATTGGGCGAAACTTGGGCGAAAAGTTACTGCATTGGTCGCTCGAGCCAGTCTCTAGCGAAAGTCGAGTGAGGGTTGAG